CTAGCACTGATGGTAGTGTAGGTACTTAGGGACACGCCAGTCGCAATACACTTGGACTCAAAGGCGGCGATAAATATCGCAGAAAACCTGCTGGACGATGAAGATTCGCGGTACCAGTATGAGAAGTCAGGCATCTTGTACTTGGCTGCAAAAGCGCGCACCCTTGGCTCCAGAAGTGCACAACAGAGACTCGCTTGATGTGGCTCAAAGGACTCAGCGGCGCTCAGGGAAATGAGAAAGCAGACAAGGCAGCTATCCGGCTCTCACCAGCCCCGGGCGAAATACTATACAGACTGAGCGTGGACAAACTGCTGGCATTGGTGATGGCGGGGAGGCTAGCGCGCAAGCAGAGAGCGAGCAGCCGGCGGCAAACTGCTACCTCTTCCATTTCGTATGAGGGCAGCATCAGGGCCAGCACCTCTACGGGCGGACAAGCACCGGCTGGAATGGCCCCAGGCCGAGCTCCTTGCAAAGCCTGTCGACATGGCGCGAGGCAAGGATGGCAAGTGCGCGGGAAATAGTAGTTGCAGAGCAACAGACAAAGCCAACTGCAACCAAAACTATTCTGTAATTGTCATTGTTGCTTTGCTTTACAGCGTAATTACTTATTTACGTGATGTTTGAAGGAGTATCGGGCTCTGGTAATGTTACATGGGGTTAGAATATGTTACATGGGGTTGTGTAGTTTGTAGTTCTTACAGTTGGAAAGAGTATAACAAGAGTAGCATTGAACTACCGCGCTAGGCTGGTGTAAGGCGTGGGAAGAAGTAAACTCACGCGAGAGTATTCCCAAACATGAAAATGCTAGGGTATCATAGTCATTCCTTTGCGGGACAAGTGTTTTTTTATTTTTTATTTTTTATATTATATTTGTATTTGTATTTTCATTTTTTCTATGTAAGCACAGGGATTGATCCGGTGGCACGACTGGTATCACTTGCATAAACGGCAGCTAAGACCGTCGCACAAAAAAAACCAAACGTGAAGGAGCCCTGCCCTGGCTCTGACGCACAGGCCACCCTCCCCAGCCAATCAGCGGTTATGCACTACTTCGATTTAGCCCTGCTTTACATGCAGGACCCTGATTCCGATCCCGATGGCCGGCCTGCCCAGCCTGACGCCTTTGTTCAAGCCCCCCGCATTTCCCCAAGACCCTGGCATCGGATCCGCGGATTCCCCGAGTGATGCACACTTGGCAAGTTATACACATTCCTCGCGCGTTCGGGGATCGTGTCCTTCCAACCCCCTTAAAGCTCTCTCTTTTCCCATCGGGTTTTTTTTCCAAGAGCTTCCCACTCCCTGTACCAAATTGGCATTGCTGTCGACATGTAGTCTGAGACAGTTTAGTTTATTTTATTCACTTTCTTACTGTATGTATAAAAAGATCTACTACAAACTTGCGCAAGCAAAAAGTAGCAAAATCGATGGACTACAAAGGAACAACGTCGGCTACAGGATTTGAACCTGTGCGGGAAAATCCCACTGGATGTCCAGCACGTGATAGAGGTCACGTGATTTCAAGTCCAGCTCCTTAAGACCACTCGGACAAACCGACAGCGTTTTCTGAGCTAACTGCTCGACTCTTAATTGTCGTTTAATTATTGAGTACTTGTTGCAGAGGCGCAATATATCGGCAAAGGCTAGCTCTCGGCTAAAAATAACTGCTGCCACAGGCTAATCTGTGATGCATCCATGATACATCACAGATTAGTATGTGCATTTTTTACGTAACCTTTAAGCGTGTATTGTGATGATAAGAAAGAGAGGAAAAGCAAGGTGGAGAAAAAGTGCTATGCGTCATAGGAAAAAATACATAATATGTTTATTGGAAAAGAAACAGTAGAGGAAAACGAGGCCATGGCGATGCCCATTTTATAGGGCCAAAATGCATGCTTCTGGCAAATACAAACTGTGGTTACTTTGGGTAATGTGTTGCTTAACGCTAGTAGCACAAACAGTGCTGTGAATTCACCAGTTCTCTAGGTACTATTAAAAGTAAATAAAGGTTATAAAGCGAGTTAAAGAACGTAACCACTATTTTAGATGAAGGAATGTGCCCTGCTTATAAGGCGCCAACCACGCCACAGCAGTCCACACCCGATTTGGGAACCGAACATAAACAATAGATTGCAGAAATGTAGTAAATACTACAGTGTAGTTTGCAGTTCTCACAGTTGGAAAGAGTATAACAAGAGTAGCATTAAACTACCGCACTAGGCTGGTGTAAGGCGTGGGAAGAAGTAAGCTCGCGCGAGAGTATTTCCAAACATGACAATGCTAGAGTATAATAGCCATTCCTTAGCGGGACAAGTGTTTTTTATTATTATTTATTTTTATTTATACTATTTTTATGCGTATTTTCATTTTTTTTCTATGTAAGCACAGGGATTGATCCGGTGGCACGACTGGCATCACTTGCATAAACGGCAGCTAAGACTGTCGCACAAAAACTACCAAACGGAGACAAACCCTGGTGATGACGAAAGCTCGCGCATGCTAGTAGCATTTAGACATTGACATGTCCGTGCTAGCATGCAGGATCATTGGATGCATGTGTGTAATGTTTTAGTATTTAAATTAGTTAACGTCCAGATGCCTTGGAGGATCTGGGATGAGTTCCTGAATAATTTAATATACGATAAACTGACACAATCTATTGGCTATTGTAACAGTTCCAATAAAAGAGCCAATTGATCTTGTCCCTCAAAGTGTTTTTTGAGAAACGAATACACTACTGCTCAGCCAACACGCACTTCAACCTTAACCTGTTGACAGTAAAAGCAAAAAAAAAAAACGTTGAGCTACTTTTCCCCAAGCAGAGAGTGCAGAATCGTGAGAAGAGCGTTGGTGAAAGCACAACAATAGTAGCACCAGACCATCCAACTCACGTCGTTTGCAATGTGGTTTGCAGAGTGAAGAACGTTGAGGGGACCCAAAAAATAGTGTTACTTTATTTTTAAGCAGAGAATGCGGAATCGTGAGAAAAACGTTGGTAAGGGCTCTGAGCATGCACCCTTTATTTTTCCTTAATAAAGAAAGCAGCTCTAATCTAGCGACATTCCCTGCAAAGCCAGTGCCAGAGCTCTCATATAAATAGGCAGTGCCCATGCCAACAGAGAATTGGATCCCTTGTCTCAGTCTCGTCTCTATAAATCTGTATATCATTTTTGTGTACTTGCTTTATTAACTGACAT